TTAAAAAATCAGGAGGCTCGAGGCAAGATGGTGGACAAGAAATGCATCCAGCTAGAGTGTCTCTACAAGAAGGAAAGATTTAGATGAAAGTGAAAAAAACAAACAGGCAGACAAACATAGATCAGATGAGGGTAGAAAGGAAGAGTGCCTGAACCTACAGGAGACTCCACGGGAAGAGGTTGCCGAGCAGAACTGGAAGGAGAAAGGCATCGGCAGAGTCTAAACCCTGAGAGGATTGGAGACCAGTAACAAGGGTAGGTAGAGCTGTTAAATTTCCCCTCCCTTACATCTCAGACTGCTGGTGGGCTCCCAAGTTGGTGGAGAGACCTGCAGACACCAGCCCAGAGATGGCTGCCACCAGTGAGTGGGGAGCCTCTTGCGGACAGGGCACTAGGCTCACAGCTCCCTCAGGTGCCTCCCACCCCACAGACCCCAACTGATCGAGCTGATCAGCAGGCACCATATTGCTTCATTCTCCCATTCCCCTTTCCTATACATGGCTGCCTAGAGAGATAATGTAGGCACCACCTGGAAGCAACCACAGGGAATGGGTCCTTTCCTTTTGTGGCCCTGCAGTGGACTGAGGAGTACTTGGACTGTGAGCTCCCTACTCACCCGCCAGCCCTAATGCAGCTTGCCTGGTGACTGCAGCAGAGGGGGCAAACCCCAAGGCAGAGAGACATTGATTCAGCTTGGGCACCCCATGGGTGACTTCAGACCAGCATTCTTCTCCCGAGGAGGGTCAGGCATTGATCTCTGGGGTCCAGGGGACAGGCCTCCAGGCCATGATGCTATACACCCAGGTCTCGATCGCATTGCCCAGAGGCACAGAAGGGATATTTGTGAACAAGTCTACTAAGGTGTGTGTGCCCTGAGGGACAGATCAGAGTGGGTCCTAGCTGCACCGTGCTTGAGAGGCAACCCTCCTCCCATGGGAGGGCTGTGCTCCCAGCTCAGGCTGTAATCCTGGGCAGAGAACCTCCCAGCTCACATCAAAGTCAGGGGAGCTCTGCTGGCTTGAGGTCCCACCCTCTGGCAGAGGCCTGGGAGAAACTGTGGAATAGGGGAAGGTGGAAAGGAGCGAGGCTGCTCCAGATTGTGGGTCTCAGACAGCCCCACCTTCACATACAGACTTTTTAGCTGAGTGGGGCCATTTCAGCCTCTCCCTGGCAGCTTTGCCCAGAAGAAGAGATCAGAACTTTGACTCCTACTAACAGCATTTGTGGAGCTTGAGGGCAGGTTCACCAAATCTA